TTTTTGTCTTTGTATCTCCAGAGTCAAGACCAGTGCCTTACAGGTGTTGGTTATTTAATAAATGTTAGATTAATTTGAATCTAATTGGGAAGGGTTGAAAGGTTTGGTGGTGAGGGCACAAAACGGGTTCCATGTAGGAGAAGGTAAGACCTTGGATTTTAAACCTAGGAATTTAAGACCTTGGGGGTGGAAGAGTTCTGAGAGATGATGAGGTCCAAAGGGTCCAGCTCCAATGGGATGGCTAACATGGAAGGAAGATGAAATCTATTGGTTGAGGTTGGCACACCAATCTCGAAGTTTATAGGATGGCCATGGGGGATGGATTTGCTTTCTGTCTCCTTGAGAATTATTCCTGGTCAGGACTTACTTGAAGTAATAGAGAAAATAAACCAGAATCAAAATGAGCTACACTCTGACTACAATGATCTAAAAATAAGCTCAAAAGAATCTGTGATGTCACTGATGGGAGAGTACCATCCAACCATGTCATTTTCAACTCATCCGAGCCTTCCATCCTATGTGACTCTTGTTCATGTTCTCTCACACATTTACTACATGGAGGACACCCTACCTGTTGGAAGGCTTGCTCAATTTCTCCTGATATCAAGAGGGTAGCAATAGGGCACTCCAGCCATCTAAGTGTCATCCCAGGCTACTAGCCCATTTTTTCTATCAATCATTTCCTTGATGAAATCTTTACTCCTGTTCTTTCTCTAAGTTCCTCAGTGTTTACGTGTTGTAACCCACTCAGACAACCATGCATCTCTCAGAGGCCATCTGTGTGATAGGCATTTTAATTAATAGGCATTAAATTAATTAATCAATTAATAAATTGATAGGTATTTAATTAATAGGCATAAAAATAGGCATTTGTAATTCTGGCTGCCAGAGAGCAATACTGATAGAATACTGGTCTTTAAAACAATGACAGATCATTATTTCCATGGGAAGTTTGAAATCATTTTTTTTCATTTTTGTTTTTAGGCAATTTGGGTTAAGTGACTTGCCCAGGGTCACACAGCTAGTAAGTGTCAAGTGTTTGGTCTGAGGCCAGATTTGAACTCAGGTACTCCTGACTTCAGGGCCGGTGCTCTATCCACTGCACCACCTAGCTGCCCCCTGAATCATTTAAAAGGGCTTTGTAATTCTGAAGGAAATATAGCCCACCCTCCTTCTCTGATTCAATTCTGGTCAACCTAGTTGTCCATTTGCACTGTCTGTCTCAGATATTCATACTGATGGACAGGTCCTATAGGTTGGCAATAGACATTCTTCATACACTTGGAAAAAGACCATTGTAATAGGCTTTTTTTTTACAGTAATCTTTGCAAATCTTTTACACTTTTCTACTGCTTGTTGGCCTCTTTCTAATTTTCACCTTTAAATGTCGTTAAGATGACTTTGCTTAGTTGGATCTCTTGAAAAACTTTATTTAAATTAGTCTTAGCCTCCACTATTAACGTCTACTTTATGAGATGAAACTGCTCATAATCACCCATCAGATTTCTTTGTAAGAGTTTGACAAATGAGATTGTATTCTAAATTGGTTTTGTCCTTGGCTTTCACCTTATTGGGGAAATAGATTTATCTCAATTGAACTTTTGTCTGTATTGTTATAATCTGTATGATGTCATTTTTTAACCATTTTCATTGCCAATAAATGATTAAATAAATCAGGACTGAATTGTTTCAATTGTACTCCATCTCTATTTCTCATTTTCATTATTTTTTCTTGCCTTCTACTAATTCCGATCTCTGCTCTAACAAGTTGGTGGTCAGTCTGTATGTGCATAGACAACTAACGGGCAGAGTATATGTACATAGACCAGACCTGCCAAAGGATTTTGGGTAGCCCACAAAAAATGTAGAGGAAAACATCTACATTTCATGGCTGCCTGAAATCCTTTGGCATGCCCGTAGGCCATAAGCAGTGTGTGGACCGCAGGTTGGGCAGGCCTGACGTAGACAATGTTATTTCATGGGATACCTGGTTATCTCATATTACAGTACTCCTGGTAAGTATTCACAAAAAGGACTACCATGAAAATAATTGTGGCCAATGCACCAATATGAGTTGTTGATAATTCCCATATCATTAACAAATCTTCTTTTCATTACAATGTAATAGCTTTCCTTTTTTTTTCAAAAAAGTATTCATGATATAAATGTATGGATCTTCTTTGTAGACTTTCATTTTTTTCTTCCTGAGTTATTCTTGCCATCCTCATCTTTCCCTAGGAGTATCAGAATGTTTGTTGATTTAATTTGGAGGGTCTTATCAAGTTTTTCTTAGAATTTCTCTACCTCTTCATCTTCAGCAACTGATAATGGTGCATTGGCCACAATTATTTTCATGGTAGTCCTTTTACAATACTTGTCATGGGTATTGCAATGGGAGACAATCAGATATCCCATGAAATAATGTTTCTTGTTACTTATTAGCACACAATAGAACCGACTCTACCAACTCCTTTCTTTGTTTCTCCAAGGAGAATCTATGAACTCTATTTCCATATAACTGCAATCTTTTCCCTTCGTCCAGTTCCATTTATGGTGAGAACATCAAGGTTAATATGAATGAGCCCTTCCAGCTGTATGTCTACTCATTTGTCATTGGACAAGGACTTCACATTTAGAGTCCCAACAGTCAAAATAAGGTTTAAATGTGGTCTGAGAAAGATGGGTTTTGGCACCATCTGCACTCTTTTCCCACACTTTACCACTGTCATGTTGGAAGAATGGAACTATTTTATATTTTTCTTCCCAATATGTAGAACCTGCCAGAACTTATACTCCACTGGTGTGGTCTTTGAGAACCCAAAGTCACCTCCACGACCCATGGAGGCATTGGAGTGGGGGAAATGATGAAAAATACAACAACAATAATAAATAATAGTAATAATAAAACAACAAGCATTTATTAAGAACGTACTACGTACCTGACACTGTGCTAGTTACTGCAGATACAAAGGCAAAAATGAAATAAATCCTGCCTTTAAAGAGCTTATGTTCTATAATAAACATTAAAATCAATAAGAATAATTTAAAAGGAAACTTTCCAATTAATTAAGAAAAAAGGAAAATACACAGAAAAAAAAGTGCAGGAACAAAACAAGATGTCTTTGTAACTATCTTGTGAATGTTAATCAATGCAGTTTTCAAATTACAAATGGAGTTTACCATTTCATGTGTGATTATCTGTAAATTCTTTTTCTTTAGTTGAATGTTTTTGTAGATGCTTACTGGGTTGAGAGAGACAGACAGACTAGAAAGACAGACAGACACAGAGAGAGAGAGAGAGAGAGAGAGAGAGAGAGAGAGAGAGAGAGAGAGAGAGAGAGAGAGAGAGAGGGAGAGAGAGAGAGATGGTTTTTGACTCAAACATTCTCTGCATCCCACATCCAGTCTGGGGATACTTTTACCTCTCTAAGTCCCCTGGCACAGTCTCTTTTTCCTTATGCCCTGCTGAGAGAGTCATGTAAAGATTGGACTCTACCAGGAAAATGACAGAGATGCCTCACAAATCCTTCTCCCCTCTGCAAAGAAACAGAATCCCAGAGTTGGAAAGAGTCTAATTCAACCTACATCAGAATAGGAACTCCAACTTTAAATGTCCCATATATTGACCATCAGCCTCTGTTCAAAGACCTGCAATGATAGAGTATTCACTACCACTTTTGGCAGACCCTTCCACTTTAAGACTTTTTTTTCCTTAGGTGAAGACAAAATTTATTCATGTAACTTCCTCCCACAGTTCTTAGTTCTACTCTGAGGGGACCAGGAGAACAGGTTTTAGGCTTCTTTTATACAGAATCTTCAAATACTCAAAGACAGCTATCATGCCCCCAACTAAATCTCTTCTCGAGATGTTTCAACTGATTTTTGGGTGGCATCCAAATTTCTCTCACAATTTGGTTGCCCCTTCTCTGCAAAGTAAAAAAACTAACCCTATTCCACTTTGACAATTATCCCCCAAAAATGCAGCACTCAAAACTGAACATAATATTCCAAATACGAGTTGTGGTTTGGCATAATACAATGGATGGCATTCTGTGAAATAACTGAAGATATTCCTAACCTGGTGCCAGCTCTGTGCCAACTAACAAGCAGTCCAGAGTCAAATGACACTGAAGCATCATGGTATACAAGAACTGGATTTGCAGTCAGAAAACCTGACTTCAAATCCTAGATCCGTTACTTTCTACTAGTGATACCTTGGACAAATCAGTTAACCCCACTGGGCCTCAGTTTCTTTATCTGTAAAATGAGAGGATTGGATTAGATGGTCTATACAGTCTCTTCTATCTCTGAATCTATTCCTCTTTTCAGACTCAGTTCATTAAAAATGAATTAACATGGGATGTTAGATGTAGAAATAGAAAGGACATTAGCAATCAATGAGTCCAACCCACTTCTTTTAAAGGTAACAAAATTTAAAGAAGTTAAATGATTTGCCCAGGGTCACACAATCAATAAATGTCTGAGGCTGGATTTCAACCTAGGTCTTGACTCCAGGTTCCACACTCTGTTCACTGTACCGCACTGCTTGGAGTTAACAAAGGAAGGAAGGAAGGAAGGAAGGAAGGAAGGAAGGAAGGAAGGAAGGAAGGAAGGAAGGAAGGAAGGAAGGGAGGAAAGGAGGGAGGGAAGAGGGAGAGAGGAAGAGAGGGAGAGAAAGTGGGAAGTGGAAAGGGAAGAAGGAAGGAAAGGAGGGAGGGAGAGAGGGAGGAAGGAAGGAAGGGAAGGAGGGAGGAAGGAAAGAGGAACATCCTCATGGTACTGAGATAGCCCTACATTGGGCTCTTCTAGAAGGAATCTAGTCCTACTGTTTATTCTAGCCCCACCTTACCTAAGCTCAATACAAAGCAATCATGCTTTGGCAGCTGTTCTTAGCTGCGGAAAGGTGAACAAACCCTTTGCCCTCCTCCCTATCTTAAGGCCACTCCTGCTTCTGTGACCTTTTCCCTTCCCTTTGGACCTGGCAGGAACTCAACTGCCAGCCCCTCCTCACTCAGTACAAATAGTTGAAGGATACTGAGGTCACACCATTATCCTTCTTTCCCTGTATCGCATCTCCATTCAGGTAAGGAAGTAATGGTTGGATGTAGAGCTACTCATTTTCTAGGTTGTTGAAGCCTACTGTAAGCATGCACCAGGGAGACTGGGAATATGTTGGTGCATGGTGGTGCGTCTCTCCTCCCAGGGAGCCATCTGTAGGTAGAGAGAGCAGGACTGTGTGGAAAGTTGAGAGTTAGTTGTGTAGGTGGAAGGGTGGTAGAAGAAACGGGTTGAGCCTCTTCCAAATATCTTGTTTCTGTTCTTAGATCTTGGTGTGCCAAAGGGATGAGGGTGATAGCTCTAGAGCTAGAAGGGATCTCAGAGGCTGCCTAATCCAACCTTCTCATTTCACAGATGAGGAAATCTCTCACTGTGAAGGAGTCAAGAAGGGTTGAGAGAAAAGGCCATTAGGTTAAGCAATTAAGAGGTCATTGAAAACTCTGGAAAGAGCTATTTCAGTGGAATCCAGGTTGAAAGACAGATTGCAGAGGTTTTAAAATGGCATGGGAGCAGAGAAAGTGGAGGCACCTATTGAAAACAGCTCTCTGTAGAAGATTAACTGAGAAGGGGAGGAGAGATATAGGATGATAACTGGTGAGGATGGGAAAAATCAAATGACACTTTTTAAAATATGGATGAGACATGAACATGTTTGTAGGGAGTAGGGAAGTAGCTATCACATAGGGAGAAATTGAATACAGGCATATCTTGTTTTATTGTGTTTTGCTTTATTGCACTTCGAAGATATGACATTTTTTACAAATTGAAGGTTTGTGGCAACCCTGCATCGAGCAAGTCTATCGGTGCCATTTTTCCAACAGTATGTTGGAAAATAGTATGTGTTTACATTGTGTTTCTATATCACATTTTGGTAATTCTTTAAATATTTCAAATGTTTTCATTATTATTACACCTGTTATAGTGATCTGTGATCAGTGGTCTTTGATGTTATTCTTGTAATTGTTATGGGCTTGATAGCTCTTGGTACACCATGAACTTCACCCATATAAGATGGCGAATTTAATAGATAAATGCCGTGTGTGTGTGTTCTGACAGCTCTGCTGACCAGCTCCCATCTCTCTCCCTCTCCTGTGACACAACAATATTGAAATTAGGCCAATGAATAATCCTATAATGGCCTCTAAGTGTTCAAGTCAATGTGACAAACTTCATTATTGTCTTGTTTTAAGAAATTGCCACAGCTACCCCCAACCTTCAGCAATCACTACCCTCATCAGTCAGTAGTCATCAATATAGAAGAAAAACCCTCCACCAGCAAAAAGATTAATGACTTGCTGAAGGCTCAGATGATGATTAGCATTTTTTAGCAATAAAATAATTTAAGTATGTACATTTTTTAGACATAATACTATTGCACACTTAATAGACTATGGCATACTATGAACTTAACTTCTACATGTGCTGGGAAACCAAAAATTTTGTGTGACTTGATTTATTTGCAATATTTGCTTTATTATGGTGGTCTGGAACTAAACTCACAATATCTTCAAGGTATGTTCACATTAGTGAGATAGTGGTGTCAATAGAGGGGACAATCTGTTGGAGAAAATGGGATTGAATGGAATTAAGGGCATATGATGAAGTGTTTGCTTTGGCAAAGATAAAGGCCGTTTTGTGGGGGACAAAATGGAGGTGAAGGAGGAAATAATGGAGGAATACATCTGAGTGATATGAGATGGAGAGGTGAGAAAAGGAAATTCTCATTGAATAGCCTCACATTTTTGGTACCATGGAAGTCTTGAGGATGGATGAAAAGATTTGGAAAAGTGGTATGTAAGACAGTGAGTCAAATAGGGAGGTATAAAGGACTGTCTCACTGCAGTGAGGGCCTAGTTGAGGTTATATATAAATTTGTGGTAGAGCCAGTCAGCATGCACTCTACTGAAACTATTCACTCAGAGGCCACTAATGATCTCCAAATCACTAAACCCAATGACCTTGTTGTTCTAGTACTCATCCTCTTTGACATCTCTGACATCATTGGCCATCCCCTTCCTTCTGAATGCTCTCTCTTACTTTAGCTTCAGAGATATCACATTCTTCTTGTTCCCTTTTTTGTCGTTCAGTCATTTCAGTTGTATCTGACTCTTTGTGACCTCACCTGGGGTTTTCTTGGCAAAGATATTGGAGTGGTTTGACATGTCCTTCTCCAGCTCATTTCGCAGATGAGAAAGCTGGTTCTCTTACTCCACCTCTAACCACTCCTGTTCTATCTCCTTTGCTAGCTGCTTATCCTGACTCGTTAAGGCTCCAAATACCCTTGTTTGTACCTCAACACGTCTTTTGCATTCATCCTACCCTCTCTGTTTCCACTGATACCACTTCAGTATAATCCCTCACTACTACCCACCTTCTTCTTTCAATAGCCTCCTAACTGGTCTTCCCATTCTCTAGTCTCACTCTAGACTTCAAGTTAGGAAGAACTGAGTTCAAATCCTGTCTCAGATACCTATTGGATGTGTGACCCTGGGCAAGTCACTTAGCTTCTCTGAATTTCAGTTTCCTTTTCTATAAAATAGACAAGGGTTAGATTCGACCTTTGAGAATCCTTCTGACTTTAAATCTTTGATCCCAATACTTATCAATGTCATTTCTTGCTCAATAAACTTTAATGAATTCTTACTTATTTTTTTAAATTAATTTATTTTGATTTATCAACAATCACTTCCATATGCTTTTGAGTTTAAAATTTTTCTTCCCTTTCCTCCCCACCACCCTCCCCAGGACGGTGCACAATCTGATATAGGCTATACATATATATTCCTATTAAACATATTTTCACATTAGTAATATTCTTACTTATTCTTTAAAGCCTAACTCAAATGCTACCTCTTCCATGAAGCCTTCCCTGATTCTCTAATTGGTAATGAAGCATTTTTATACCTTCCTCATGCATTTATCATGTATTATTTTTGCATTATAGCAAGTATATATGTTATACCATCCTACTGCATACAAACTTCATAAGTTAGTTCATGTTTTGACTAAAATTTGTGTCATCTCTAGCACCAAGAACACTATTTTGTACCCATTAGTCACTTAATGTTTGTTGAATTGAATTGAATTATCCAGTCCATTCCTCCATCTCACATACCACAGGATGATAGCTCTAGAACTAAAGGGAATCCCAGTGTAACCTCCTTATTTGACAGTTGAGAAAATAGCCTGAAGACTTCTGGGATTACCTAACCCAATCAATCAATCCCCTCATTTTATAGAGGAGGAAACTAAGACATATAAGGGTGAAGAGATATGCTTGAGGTGACACAAGGATGAAGTGAAATTATCTTGTTATCTCCAAGCAGACAGTCAAAATCCACATTTCTCAACTGGCTGCAAGAATAGCAGTGCCAGCCACAACTCTGAAGCTCTGATTTGGGATAAGGTCTGTCTCTCCCACCTCTCACTTCTTTCCCTTATGATTCCTTCAAGTCTTGCCTGCAAAGACTAGCATCTTGATTATGGCTGGTCTTTTCCCAGCGTGGGACCTGTCAAGATACTATTAGGAGACACCCTGTTTTCCAGAGCTAAGGCCCAGCAAGCAAGCTGTGCCCTGAGCTTGGCAAAACAATAATCCTTTGTGCTCACCTTCTAGAACTGATGGTACCTGAGCTTGGCCAAGCACCAGCAGGCCCAGAGGTGAAGCCCTACTATTAAAGGACTTTTTGTCACAAGACAACCCTGCCTCATTGCTGCTTTTGTGACTCATGACTGTTGCTGTACTACACTGTTTGACTCTTTGTTTATCCACAAGTACATAAATCAAGGTTAGGCTGAACATTCAAATGAGTCCTCCGACTAGGGGCAGAGCCCCAGCACGTGTATCTAATCTGCCTCCTCGCTTGCAAGCCATTTCCCTCACTTTGAAATTAAACTTCTGTTTGATTCCTGACTTTCCTGTCCCTAGCCTGCTCTGTCTGGCTCTAGCCATCCACAGGTTAGAGGCTGGTTTGTGCAGTTGACAGACTCCACATATAGATCCAACTCTATCCCACGATGGAAGGAATGTCTTTTGAAACTCCCAACAAGTGAAGATCATATATGTGTGTTTTTAATCTGCTGTGTCCTGAGAATGGATGGAGATCAAGGTCATTGGGGGAAGGGTTGGGGTGTGCGTGGAGGAGAGGAGTATGAGGATATTCCCTCAGGCTCCAGTCAGTAGCCATAGTAACACCAATCTCTGAATTTCAGGTGTCACTGGAAACCCTCCCTGTGTATTGACCCAGAAGGATGGATCCAGGTAGGGAACCAGTCTGGGTATTTGTGGAATGAAGTAGAGGATAAAGCTAATGGGTGGCTTGAAGTGATTGGAGGTTAAAGGTAGAAAAGTAAACCAATCTGCCATATTACTTAGCAACCATTACCACAATCAGAAATGGAAGACTTGAGCCATAGGAACAGGAAGATGGCCATTGCTGTTAATATTACTAATAAGGGCTCCAGCCTCCTTCCTATTTTAAGACTACCTGAAGATAGCATATAAAAGCAGAACAAACTCAAGCTGGTATTTTCAAACTGACCCTTATATTGTGATTGTAGGGGATTTTTTTTTTTGTGGCAGAGTACTGTGACATGCCTGGTTTCATGTTCCCGTTTTGTTATGTGTATTCTTGGGAAAGTCTTCTGTACTGGGCTGTGCTCCAAGCTGTCTGGGATCTTAGGAAGAGTATATCAAAGGGCTGGGTCATAAAGACAGTGACACCCAGGAAGAGTATATCAAAGGGCTGGGTCATAAAGACAGTGACACCCGTAGCCTTTGACAATACCTAAATCATTCCCTGTTCCTCTTTGTCAGAGGTCCCCAGACTCTTATCAGTCATGGAACATACATCACGTTGGCACACAGCTTTTTCTTTTGGGGGTGGTGGAAGGTGAGATGGCAACTAATATCAAAACCTTACATTCTTACAGTGTTTGGTGCTTTTCAATGTGCTTTCATGTTTATTCTCTCATTTGACCCTCATAACAGCCCTGTGAAGTGGAGAGGGCAGGTATTATTATCCCCTTTTTACAGATGTAGAAACTGAAGCATCTGGAAAATGGAATAATAATACCTATAATACCTACCCCCACAATGTTGTTTTAGGGATAGAGATTGAACAAGGTATTTCATTGGTATAGGGAACACCTGGGTGAAGGAAGGTATTCCCTCTATCAATTAGGTCTGCAACTTCTTTGTAATTTGGAGTCTTAGAGAGTTGCCTGAGACACTGAGTGGTTAAATGATCTGCCTAAGGTCACACAGCTTGCATCAGAGGCTGGACTTGAACCCAGGTTTTTCTGGCCCCAGAGGCAGCTTTCTACCCCTCTCCGCCCACTATACCACATTGCCTATATTATGTTACTCAAATATTCCAAAAGTAGTAATTAGTGGGGAAAGAATGATGGAAATACCTGGTTTAGTGTCTTACTAGACTAGCAGCTTCTGAGTAGTTAAATAAGTCTCATCCTCCCATATGCTAAGCTGTTCAAGGGCTCCATGAGAAAAATAGCCCTCTCCTTATCTTGGATAGAAATGATCTAGTGTTATTATGTGTAGTAAGAGCCTATAAAAAACATAGTTGACATTTGCAAAGCTATCACTTCGCATATATTAACTCTTTCGATCCTTACAATAACCTGGTGGTACTATTATTATAGCCATTTTAAAGCTGAGAAAACTGAGGCTGAGAGATTAAGTGACTTTCCTGGGGTCACACAGCTAGAAAGTACTTGAGTTCCAGAACCTTCTTAAATTGACCTTTTTATACAGTGGTTAAAAGATATTTCTTTGTGGTTTCAAACCCAGGTTTTCTTGACTCTAAGTCAGGAATCTCTAATCATTACAGCACACTGCCTCAGTATTATGTTTCTGAGTTGTACAATTTGGCTTTTAGAAAGGGGAAGGGAGGGGAGTGGAGGGGCATCTAGGTGGCACAGTGGATAGAGTATTGGCCCTGGAGTCAGGAGGACCTGAGTTCAAATCCAGCCTCAGACACATAACACTCACTAGCTGTGTGACCCTGGGCAAGTCACAACCCCAACTGCCTCACAAAAAAAAAAAAAAGGTGAGGGGAGAGACTTTGTTCATTGGTCAGTCTCTCCAACTCTTTGAATAGATCAAGAGTTAAGACCCACAGTCAGCCCAAAGGGAAGGGAGGAAACATGGAAGCAAGAAAAAGGAGAGTTGCTGTGAGTGCTGGAAGGAAGCTCCTTGCAAAGGAAAGGACATCTTCTAAAGCTTTAAAAAGGCACAACCATTTGTTAGAGCTATATGGGCTGGACCCCAGTAAGATCAAGATGCTAATTAGAGGTGGGAGAACTGGAGCTTGCTTAAGGGAAGAATAAACTCTACCTCAGCCTAGGAAATATTGATCAATGCAAGCAACATTTATTAAGCACCTACTATTTGCACGGCACCCATGCTGGAGCTAGGAATACAAAGACAAGAACAAAACAGGAAAGATAGGTAGATCAGGGGTGTGAAAAGGCCTTTAGAGATCAGATCAGACAGGGTGAACCTGAGAATCTGTAGACCTTTGAATTCAACAATTATTTTGCATCAATTATTTTTCCTAATTCCTTAGTAAAGCTTTTTCTTCTAGATATTGTCTCTGTAGAGTTAAGGTTTGTCAAAAAAGGGTCCAAAGAATTATGGGAACCATTCAACTCTCCTTAGGGGCTAGGCTTACTCTGCTGGCAGTAGAACAAAGAAGCAATGAACCCTTTGGGGAATAGGCTTTAGGACTCAGATTTGGGCATTTGGCCTTCCAAGGGCATTTCCTGATAGCCCTAAACCAAGGGAGAGTTAGGCTAATTGGGCTCCTACTGGGTGGGTGGGTGACAGGGAAGATCAGGACTGGCACATATATGGGGGTGCTAGGCTCTAAAGAATGGGCAGCTACTCATTTGTATAGGATTATTGAAATAATGACCAATGTTTTTCTCTTTGCCTTCCTCACCCTCAGGTCCAAAGGTAAGAAATTTTCCCCCTCTCTTCCTAAGGCTCTTTTCCCCTCTTCCTTTCTCTGCCCCCCCATTCCCAGTTATCTCAAGCCTCCCAGTCAGATCCTTATGGAGTCACCCATCAGCTTCCTCAGAATGGAAAGAGAGAGGGGAAGATGTGTAATCTCCCCAGGATGTCTTCAGTTCTCATTCCTTTCCACCTGCCCCTTCCCTGCTTAGCCTTTTCAGCAGCAATCTTCTTGGCTATTTCTCCTCTTTTCCCATCTGTTTTGCTCATTCCCTCACAATATCTTCCCCACTCCCCAACCCCATTCCCATCCCCCATCTCTCTCTCCTGCTGCTCGCACTCCTGTTCCATTCCTCACTCAGTTCCCTGGGTCTTTCCTCCTCTCTGGCTGTCTCTCTCTCCCCTCCCCTACAACACACCACTTAAAAAAAAAACCCAACTAGGGTTGTTCCTGGAGCAGACCTAATTAAGGCAGACCTGTGAGATTGCAATCATGCCTACCTCCCTCTCTGCTCAGCATGCCCAGGCCCTCAGCCAGCTGCTCCCTGCCAAATACAGAGACCTGGGCATCTGATTCTATCCCAGCATGCTGCGGGTGGAAGGGACAGCAGATTGGGAACCAGCAGATTCAGAGGAATGATGGAGAAAAAGCCTTGCTGTGTCCCGCTAACCTCCCCCAAACCTAACCACAGTCTGGGCCCCATAATGGGAATAAAGCTAAAGGATGAAGCAGAGTGATGGTTTGAAGACTCTCTACTTCCCCCTACCCTATTCCTGACCCTCTGGTCCTAATGCCAGGAAACTGGAACAGGAAAGGTGATTACCCAAGCCATACCAGGACTGCAGCCTAACCCCTGTTCCCCAAAGCCCTGACCCAGAAGACTCTACCTGGAGAAACCAGGCAAGGTGCTGAACAGAGCTTTTGCCTTTGCTGGTCTTTACAGCAAGGAAAGAAACTCACCTGCCTAGTGTGTTTTATTTAATTTTTATTTTCATTGATACTTTAAATTTTTATACTAGCTTAATTTCCAAATATACCCCACTCACACCCACTCCTTTAATAAAAAAGAAAAAAGAAAGAAAAGAAAAGTAGTACAGCAAACTAATGAGTATATGGATGGAGTCTGACAGCACAAATTGTGTTACACACCCATAGTTCTCCATCTCAGTAAAGAAAGTAAGTATATTTTTTCATCTCTTCTTTGGAGCCAGTCTTAGCCATTATAATTACCAGCATTTGGTTGGTTTGCATATTTTAAGGGTGGTACCGTCTAGAAGCAGGACGATTAACTTAATGATCTTTCCGGGTCCCTTTCAATTCTTCATTACCTGTCCCTACTTGCTGGTCTTCCTGACTTCTTGTGGCTTGCAAACATGGGTAGCCAGGTATGTACAGGACCACACTGCTCCTTACCCTAATCTTTGTTTCTCTCCCTTGACTCTAGCTTCCTCCTTTGCCTCAACCTCTCAGGAAACATTCTCTGTAGGGACACCCCATGGACCCAATCTGCCCCAATAAGAACTATCTGATTTACAGCCCATAGCACTATCAGAATTCCAAGCATTATATGGTAGCTACTGGTTGAAAATGGAAGGGGAAATAATTGTGTGTGTGTGTGTGTGTGTGTGTGTGTGTGTGTGTGTGTGTGTGTGTGTGTTACTAATGAGTAAAACTGAGATTTCCCACGAGTCAAAGTCATACAGCAGATTAGAGGATAAAATAGTCATTTTGACTCCCAGCCACAAGATTTCCTACATTCCCCCTTCTTGACTTCTCTGTTCCTCTCAGTGTGCAGAGCCAGGGCCCTGGGTTTTCAGTCCTCTCTGCCAGCTATAGTTTAAGGTTATGGGGCTCAGGGAAGAGTGAAAATGCTTGGGAGGCTGCTAGGTAATTCAACGAACAGAGCATTGGACCTGAAGTCAGGAAGACCTCTCTAGGATTATTGTGAACATAAAACAAGATAACATTGTAGAGAGCTTTGCAAATCTTGAAGTACTACATAAATATTAGTAATTATTATTATTATTATTCTACAAGAACAGGATTTCCTTGGCCACCTCAAATCAGGCCAGAACCCCCCCGAGAGTGACCAGGAATGCTCTTTCTCCTCCTATGCCTCCTATTATGATGTAGCTGGTGGCAAAATGGACAGAACAGTGGGCCTGGTATCAGGAAGACCTGAGTTCAAATGTGACCTCAGACATTTACTTAGCTGTGTGACCCTGGGCAAGTCATTTAACTCATTTTGCCTCAGTTTCCTCAACTGTAAAATGGGGTTAATAACAGCACCCACCTCCCAGGGTTGTGAGAATTAATTAGATAATATTTGTAAAATGCTTAGCAAAGAGTCTGGCACATAGTAGGTACTTTATAAATGTTTGTTCCTCTCCCCCTATGCAAGACATTGAGATCACTGAGATTATGATTTAGGACCATAGGGACAGTTCATCAAGTCCAACCTCTTCAATTTACACATAAGGAAACTAAGGTCCAGAAGGGATAGATGAATTGGTCATACTCACATGAGATAAGTCTGAGTTCTAACTGTGTCTCTTTGGCTTCTTACAGGGACACGGCCCTGGAGGGCATCCCCCTGGTCATGACCCTCACGGACACCCACCTGGAACTGAGGGCCCTCCCATGTAAAGCACCCACATGGTCCTGGAAAGCACACACCTGGTCCTGGAGGGTCTCCCCCTCCAGGGAAACCTCATGGTCCACCTCACTAAGGAAGCAGTTCAAAGAGGCAGGGAGACCAAGGAACCACTTTTGCCAGCCTGGCACCGGGCAATATCACCAGTCTATTCTGCTTAATAAACAATCTCATGGAGACAAAGCCATGTTATCAAAAGAAGTCTTTTCTTGGTCCACCGTGCCCAATATCCTTCCTAGGCCAGGGAGTCTCTCCATCTCCTTATTGCTCTTGCAAAATGTACCAGGAGAAACCCAGCACTTGCCCCTGAACTAACCCCCAGTGTTTTTATAAGTCATTCAAACAGCCTTCGTACAAAAAAACAAAATTTGTCTGAGTTATAGCTTAAAGGACAATGTAGTCTCATTTGCTCACTGAGTTACATGGAATCAGTCACTTCCTCTGCCACTGCCATCCCTCTGGTCTAGACCTTATTCAATACATTATTACCAGGTTAACCTTACTAAAACATCACTCTTTGTGTGTCATGTCCCTTCCCCTTCAAAAGTCTCTAATAGTTTCTATCAATGAAAATACAAACATTTCATCTTTATTTTAAAATTCTTAAAAAATGTTTATTGACATCTTTTGTTTTTATATTACTGCCCAAATATATTACTCCTTCTTCCCTTCCTAGTGAGCCATGTCTTAAAACAAAGAACCCAAAAAGAAAAATAAGTTCAGCAAAACTAGCTAGCACTTTCACTCAGTCCAACAATATCAGTCAGTCAATAAACATTTGTTAAGTACCTACTATGTACCAGGCATGGGGCTAAATGCTGGGGATACAAATACAAAAAAGAAAGATAGTTCCTGCCCTCGAGGAGCTTACAATCTAAAGAGGGAAGACAAAACACAAAAAGAAACTGAAAAGGAAGGTGGGAGTGAGGAAGGTACCCAAAGAAGGGACTTGGTGGAAAAGTCAGGGAAGTCCCAAAATAGTTCAGTCAGGTGAGAAATGAGGAGAGAAACATAAAAAAATCCCTAGGTTCCCATCTCTGCAAAGAATGGATGTAGGTCAACATCTGATTCTTAGGGAAAGGATAGATCATATCCTATGCCTTAAAATTCTGTGGTGAAAGTGACTGGAAGAAGGATGGAAAACTCTCATAAATGAAAACTTAAACACACAAAAGTAAAAGATTCCAAACAGGGAGAAAATAAGAAGGGAGCTATCTGAAGAAACCAGTGTAGATGCATTAAAAAAAAACCAACAACCTAGCAATCAGTTTAGATATAACAAAATTTACAACAATAACACCTCACATTTATGCAATGCTTGAAGGTTTGCAAAGTGCTTTACATATACCTTCTTTTGCTCCTCATAACAGCTCTAGGAAGTTGACTCTATTTAATATTCCCATTTTGCAAATTGGAAAATAGGCTGAGAGAGGTTAAGTGACTTGCCCCAAATCACACAGCTACTCAATGTCTAAGATAAGATTCAAACCCACTTCTTCCTGGGCACTCACTGTACCCATCTATGATGCAAGAGCATATAAGAGGGAATTGATATAAAACAGTAGCATTGTTCTTTAACATCAGGAGTGCAAAAACTCAGAACAAGCTAAAGCTGATAATGAAAGCAAAAGACAGCAACCCCCCCAAAAAAAAGCATTTGCAGGAGGTCAAGGAAAAGATCAAAGAAGATATAGTACAGGTCTTTGGAGATGACGGGACTGATAAAAGATGATTAAGAAAAGGCCAAAGTATGCTACCCTTAACTTTGTTTCTAGTCTCTTTGAGAAGGGGTTTAACTTTTGGACAGGGATAGATATATGTAAAAAAACCAAAAAAACCAAAAAAAACCCAACCAACTATTTAAAGATCACTTAGTTGTCTTCAATGAGTTTAAGCTATAAGACCCAGATGAACCATATCCTGAGGTCCTGAAAGAACTTGAGGATGTGACTGCTGAGCCACTGTTTGAAAAATTGTGGCAAATAGGTAAGGAGCTTCAGGACTGGAGCCTGGCAAATGTTGACTTGGCTTTCAAAAAAAGAAAAGAGGGTGGAACATACACTCTATAGACCAATAAGCTTGAAGTCCACTTCTCACAAGTTCCCAACAATATTAATAAATGGAAGGTTGTGAGCATTTAGAAAAAGAAGCAGTGATTATCAAGAATCAGCATGGTTTTAACAAGAACAGGTCACGCGAAAATAACTTCATTTACTTTTTTATAAGATTACTAGACTAGTAAATCAGATGCATTCTGTAGTTACAGAATATTTGGATTTCAGCAAGAGAATTGACAGTCTTTTACACTTCTTTTGTGGGCAAGACACAAAGATGTGTTCTAGATGATAGAACAAAACTGGCTGAATGACTGAACTCAAAGAGTAGTCACTAATAGTTCTTTCAACATAAAGGGAGATTTCTAACTAAATGCTGTCAAACATTTTTATCAACAAATTGAATAAAAATAGCATGGTTATCAAATTTGCTTATGACCTGAAACTAAGGGGCATAGTTAACACATTGAATGACAATCAGGATTCAAAAAGACCTGAACAGGCTAGAATGATGCCCTCAACCTAATCTTTCTGCCTTATTTTCTATGATTCTTCTACACGCCACAGATCCACAGAATAGGAATTGGAAATGAACTTGGAGGTAATCTAGTCCAACTGGTACCTGAACAAGAAAGAATCCTTTCTACAACTCTGATAACAATTGGCCATTCAGGCACCAATTGAAGACCTCCAGAAATAGGGAACCTACTGACTCCTGATAGAGCCTTTTCCACTTTTGGACAGCACTGATAAAAAGTTTTTATTTGCATTGAACTCTCTGTCATTCTGTAACTTTGCCCTATTGTTCTTGGTTCTGGCCTCTGGAGCCAAGCAACATAAATATAACCCTACTTCTATTTGTCAACACTACAAAATTGCTCATCTAAGTCTTCTCTTCTTCAGGCTCCAGTACCTAGAACAATTCCTGAACTTAAGACAGGTGCTTCTCAACAGATGCTTGTTGGATTGAATTGCCTCAGTATCATTCAGTCCTTATAGGACACAGTCTTTAGTCCCCTCACCATCTTGGTCAACTTCCTCCTTTTCAATGGTCTTCTTAAAATACGGTGCCTAAAACTGAACACAGCATTCCACTTATCTGACCACATATCTGACACACACACACTTTCTCCTTCACTCCCCACTCCCACCTTGCAGTCCTTGTGTTGCCATCCAAAATAAAAGCATCCCACACAAGCCAGTCCTCCCCTACTAAAGTGTCCCATGCTCTAAAGTTTTGTCTTCCCCAAATAAGAAATTCCATTCTTTGTGTCAGAAACATCCAAGGGAACAGTTCCGTGGAGGAAGACAAAATAATTCCTACTTCTTGTTGCTCAGTCATGTCCGACTCTTTGTGACCCTGTGAACCATAGTGTGCCAATATTGTCCATGGGGTTTTCTTAGCAAAGATACTGGAGTAGTTTGCCATTTCTTTCTCCAGCGGATTAAGGCAAACAGAAGTTAAGTGATTTGCCCAGGGTCACATGGCTAATGATTGTCTGAGGTCGAATTTGAACTCAGATCTTCCTGGATCCAGGCCCAGCGTTCTGTCACTGACTGAGCCACCTAGCTGCCTAAGTTGTGACAAACGATATAGTTTAAAGCATGACTTCGGAAGGGGAAGGCGAGCTGTGTATGGGGGGGGGCGCGGTTAGAAGGAGGAAAGAGTGAGAAAGAGCGACATTTCTAAGCAAGGAAAGAAGCCCAGTTCCCTTGTCTTATTTCAGGCCTTTACTTTCCTAAATCTCCACCCACTCCACTGCCCCGGGCAGTAATATCGCAGAGCGCTTTAGAATCACGCTTCGGAAAGTTTTCAGAGAAAGCCAAGTTTTCAAGTCTTGGACCTATGATGTTAAGCCCCACAGCCTCACACTCCTACACCCCACAACTGAGGAAGGAGGAAAAGGAGGAGTTCGGGAGATGTACGTAACATCTCTTCAACTGCCGTCCTCTACCCCCTTCTGTCCCTCTTCTTTAGTCTCCTCTCTTCTCCCCTTCTCGTAAAGATCTCTAAGTGCTCTCTACACACAGGAGCCAAGCGTAGCTTTCCCAGAGTCCCACAGGGAAAAAGTGAAATCTTGAGAGCAGAGTAAAACTGTATGCAGGCAACCTGGCTCCCAAAGCTCAGATCTCCATCCTGGCTCCTGCTGAGAGGGCTACGTCGTGGGCTGTAGCCTGGTCGGGAGTTCCTGGGCTGAGAGCTTCAAAGAAGCAACCCAAGGGACCCCAGAGCCCTGTGCTCGGCTCCGCCCGACTCCACCTGGCTTTGGGTCCATTGGCTGGGCCCTTCCCCGACCCACGCCCATTGACTGGGACAGCCTTTGCTGAACGCAGGCGCAGTGAGGCAGCTTCCACCGCCGCTTCAGCACCAGAAACCGGACAGCGGCGCCGCCCACGGGCATGGAGAGCCAAGGCAGCAGTGGCCCTAGCCCGGGTCCGGGCCCCGACTCCGCATCCACCCCTGGCCCGAGGGCGGAGCAGCCTCCAGAAAGGCAGCATCCAGCCCTAGACAGCAGTCCCCAAGACAGGTAAGGAAGACCATAACCCAACCCAACCTCCCACGTCTTCATGAAACCTTTCCCATAACCTGGACATCTGCTGGCAGCCTTCATACATTCTCTTCACCCTCCCCATCGCCGTGGCCCCCTCTCCTACTTCCCCCTCACTTCCACACGCTCCTCCATGCCATCCCCCATACACACCACTCCCTCATTACTCTTGCATGTCTTTCCCCAATCTCAACATTCCTCCCTGCCCCCCATCTCCATTCCTGCCCATCTTCCTTATCCCTGACCCTGTGGCGCTGACCCATTTGCTTCATTCCTGGCTCCTAACCCTTCTCTGGTCCCCCAGTTCCAGCCTACCCCCTCCCACCTCTGTCACTCCCATCTCTTTATACCTTGCCCTGCATCTCCTCAGAAAACACATCCATCCTCTGTGAGCATCTGTCAGAGGATGAGCTTGTGAGCCTCTGCTTGTGTGACTGTGTAGAGAAGTGTGTGCATGTGGATGTAACACTGGGGTGTGCCTTTGGGTCCTTATCTATGAATGTCTGACTATTTGCCTTTGTTCATCATTTTGACAAGTTGCATGTCCATGTGTGTACTTGTAATTTTGTTT